TTTTTAGAAAAAAATGCAAAAATCTTATAAATCTTTAAATATATTATTATCTTTATTAAATATCATTATAAGGTCTTTTTTTTTTCTGGTTTAACTCTTTTTTAATTATTTTTTTTATTAATATAGTATAATGTAAATAAAATTAATTTCAATATAAATAAAAAATAACTTAATTTACTAGTAATATAGTATTAATAACAGAAGATTCTTTTTGCTTATTTAAATTTTTAGGTTGATTTATTTCTACTAAATTTAAAAGGTAATTCATTTTTGCTAAATCACTTTCAAATTTCTCTTTATTATTATCTTTATTGTTATTATTATTAACTCTATTATTATCTTTGTATTCTCTATATCTTTTGTAATCTTTGTAACCCTTATAGCCTTTTATTTTAACATAATTCAGATCAATTAAATATTTTCAAGTAGTCTATTTAAAATAAAATAAACATTATCATTATATATTAAAGTGTGTTATTTTTTATATATTGAATTTATTTAAAAGCAGAATCTAATATATACTGCAATATTTACTTTAACTATTAAAATAAAGTAAAATAAAAATAAATAAATATTTAAAAATAATTAATTAATAATCTTTATTACCTTTTCAGAATATCATATATGATCATAAATAAGAATAAATTATTTATTATCTAATTTCTTTTTAGTTTGTTGTTTGAATCTAATTGTTCAATAAAGTGATATTTATTTTGAATTAGAATCAATAAAATTTTATTCTTATTGAATTTTTAAATATTTTTATAATATATTTTGAATAACTTTATAATAGCTTTAATTTTCAGTTTTTTCTATCAAATATATAATATAAAAATTAATTATTAAATAAAAATGAATTAAATAAAATATTACTCATATTGTTAAACTATATATTAGTTGTTAAAAAATTAGATTTTGAGAATTTTTTAACTAAATTGAGATTTTTATTGCATTTTAGTTTTTGATATTATTAAATTAAAAAGTATTTAGCTCTAAATTTTAGTTTAATATTTTTTAAAACTTGATTTTTCTAGAAACCTCCTATATATATATATTTTATTTATTTATTAAAAAATAAATACTATAAATGCTAACAATACCAATGCTAATGCTACTATTAATGCTAATACTAAAGCTATTATTAACACTAATATTAATGTTAACACTACTACTCAATACCAATATCTATGTCAATTTCTGTATCAGTATTAATACAAATACTAAAACTAAAGCTAATATTTAAATTAAAGCTAACATTAAAGCTAATGCTAGTGTCATTACTAATGTAACCACTACCAATGCTAATATTAATATTAGTATCACAGATAAAAATAATCCTGTAATAAAAAAATAAAAAGTAAAGTTTTTAAGAAATTATTAGATAACTTTTAAATTTTTATTTCTAATATATGATAATAAAATATTCTTAAACTTAATTTAATACTAATTAATATTAAAACAAAAAAAAAATAAAAGTGAAATTAGTACTAATGATAAAGCTAATAAAACTAGCATCAGTATCACTTTCAATATTACTTTTAATTTCACTACAAATTTAATTTATTTTATAATAAAAATTTAGATAAATTTGAAATTCTTATTAATTCACTATATAAATAATAATTTTATATTAACTTTTATTAACATAACAAATACTAAAGAAAAAGAAAATAAAGATTTAAGTAATGAAAATAATAATAAAATTAAAAATAAAAGAAATATTATAAAAAATTAAAAGCGTAAAAAGAAAAAATTTAAAAAAAAACAATAATTTTTTAAATTTTTTTTAATTTTTAATTTTTTAATTTTTTAATATATTAATATATGAATAAAATTAAGTTTCCTAATTAAAGAATTATAAAATATAAGTTTTATCTGTAATTTTTACATTTATTTACTAGTGTCATAAAACTTTGCATATATTTAAATATATTTATCTTTAAAAAAGATCTTTAGATACTCTTTAAGTATTTTTTTTAAATGAATCACAAATATGAGAATATCACATTTCTGATGTTTTATTATCATATTTTTTTTGTAAAGAGGATAACACATTTGTTAACCTTTTATACATATTATTATGATCAGATAAATAAATCTTAAAGTAGGTAGCATTATTTAAATTCATCTTTTATAAGTGTTTTTTATGTGATTTATAATAATTTACAGTTTTTTAATGATTTATATCATTTTTAGTGAATTCTTATAATTTTTTATCAACTTATATTATAGAATATCACGATTCAAATTTAATGAATTCACTGATTTGACTATAATATATTCATAAAAAATATATTATATGAAATTAATGAAACCTCTCTGGTTTCCTGCCAGTTTCATAACACTTTCTATTTAGCAAATACAATCAGAATACCACTGTAGCATAAGTGCATATTCGTAAGATAAGTTATGAATTTATCAACAAATTTTTGTTTATTCAGAAATTTTGATTAATTTTCTCTTGAACAAAATTTATTATCCTTAACTTTATATTGTGAATTTCAGAGAATTGTGTATTGTATTGAAGTTTATGCCATTTGATTTATTTGCTAATTAAACAAATACATATAATGACTTTTTTTAAAAAAATTAAATGTTCCAGAATTCTGAAGTTTAAAATTTTCATTTTATTATTTTTTGAAAAAAAAAATTTGTAATTATTATTATGGAAAAATAAAAATTTCGATATTGTACTTAATGCTGCATTTCACTGAAATAGAAGTTAATTAAACAAGACCGTCATTTAACGATTAATATTTCACTAAATCAATCATTCATCAGTCAAGATAAACATTATAGATTTCTCTCTGAGAATTTGGCCTCAACGTTTGTTGCATAACTTCAATGTACTTTTCAAGATCCTTGCAAGTTTTTTCTGCCTTAGGAGCCATACGCTTAACGAATAATTTTGTTAACCGTTCTTTTCCATATTGAGAATTCAACTTGTTAATAAAATCTTCGATTTCAATCATTTGTCCTTCCCAACCGTTCTCAAAATAAAAGGTGTTTCCAAGTATAATATTTTCAATATCATTTTGAAGCTCTCGTAGAACTTGCGAGAGCACTTCTCTAACACTTTCTAGTTTGTAATCTAGATAAGTGCCGGTAATTGATGAAGCATCAGCAACAGCCAAACTGTAAAATTTATTTATGTAAATGCGAATCCCGGTTATAATCAAAATTAATCTTATAAATATTTACCCTCCAACGTATGCCATCGCGCCAACATCTAAGGCAAACGTACCAAACTCAACAGCAGCAGCTGACACAGCTAACGATGCTCCACCTGTAAATGGAACTGTAGCAATTTCAGCAACCGCAGCTAAGGTTCCGATTTCGGCTACCACTAGGCCACCATTCGCTAAATTTGTTACACCATCTTTTATTTGCTTTGCCTTCTCAGCCTTACCATTTAAATTATCTCATTTTTTGGAAATTTTCGCTTCATATTTGAAAATTTCATTATTAATCTTAGTTAAATCTTCTTTAACTTTTTTAAGTTGTTTCGTTAATAATAGAACATTTTCTTTATCTTTCCTAAAACCACTTAATAATGATCTTAATAATTCCAATATATCGTAATTATCAATATCATCATCTTCACAACATTCAATAAGGTCAATCAAATCTTCAGTATTAAAGCGCATACTGCGAGCATGAGTTACGGATTTATAAACGGCATTTCAAAATTCCTCATTTTGTTCAGAAATTTGGCTAATTTTCTCTTTAATAAAGTCATCTTGAACTTCAAATCTAATTCTTTGAAAATCAGAAAATTTATTGAGAATCTGAATTGTACAATTTTGTAACTCGGTCACTTCAAGACTCGTCATTTCACTGATTAAAAAAAAAAGATTAAATTTTAAAATAAAATTGGTGATTACAAAGAAGTATAAGGTTTATTTCACATTAAAAACGATATTAATAAAAAATAAAATAACATATAGAAGATTTAATTGCGAAGTACAACCTTAAATTATATTGAACTTAAATTTAATTGAATTAGAATCTGGAAAAAAATATTACTATTTATCTACCTTTATACGAGGATTTGTTTGAACCAGAAAAGAATTGCTTGAATTATCAAAAGAACCAGAGTCAAATGAAAGTGAATATAAGGATGATATCGAAATAATGCAGAAAAAACTTGAAATTTGCAAAGAGTTAGTATCCAGTTCTGGCTACCTATATATTCTTTCCAAAGCAGATAAGTATGGTGTTGATGCAGGATTTTGATCTTGAAATAAAATAGCTAAGCCACCATTATTATTTATCGTAGAGAAGAAAACAGACCCTATTCGGGTCTTTGTATACATTAATACGAGTCTCATTATATTATTTTTTTAAATAAAAAATATTAATAATCCCACGAAGCTCCCGTTTTAAGATCAACAAAACCCCAAGAAACTTTTGGCCGCGAACTTTAATATTTTGCAGATCGTCGCCAAAAGAAGCCATAATTTCTTAACCGCAGCCCGACGATCAGTCGGCCGTAACTATGAAAATGACGATCATAACGTCGTTACATAGTTGAATTGGTTTATTTAGTTTAACTTCCAAATTTAAACTTTATATTTAAATAACACAAGAAATAGAATAATTAGGATAGAAATTTCTCTTAAGTTTAGGTGTGATTGAATTAAGCGATTGAATTAGTGAATTGTGTCAATATTAAAAAATAGTTTAGTTTTGAATATAAAAACATATACACGGTACAGAGCGCTGACTAAGACAGTACTCATTTGTTATTCTTATTAAAATAAACTATCTATAAAATTAACCTTCTGCTTACCTCCATTTTTACCGAACGTTTATAACAAATAAGCATCTTAAAGAACTGACCGTAACAATATTAAAGCTTTATTGAAAATTCTATAATTTGTAATTCTGATTTAATTTTTTTTTTTAAAATTTAAATCCATGTTTTAAAAATTATACTTAAATATGATTGGCTATTTTTTTTTAAAAAAAAATTGAATAGGACAAAGATCTGGCCAATCAAATCAAACTTCAAATGGATCACATAAAAAAAAAATTTACAGCATTTTAGATTTTCCTCCTTTTCAATCACATACTCGAAGGGTTATACTACTTTTGAGTTTCTATTTAATTAATAAGTCATGGTAAGGTTTTAATTAAGGAAACGTTAAGGGAAAATAATTAACGCAAATTATCATTTCGTTTACATTTAACCAATCGGGAATAATAATTTAAGTTCTACAATTGAACAATAATTAATTTTTTTAATTTTAGCCTGCCAACGACAAATCCAACGAAAAGGGACCAGCTGCTAATCCCATGAGGGAATTGAGTATTGAAAAATTGGTTTTAAACATCTGTGTAGGAGAATCGGGAGATCGTTTAACAAGAGCAGCAAAAGTACTTGAACAGTTAACAGGGCAAACGCCAGTATATTCAAAAGCGCGTTATACCGTTCGTTCTTTTGGTATTAGACGTAATGAAAAAATTGCAGTACATGTTACAGTACGTGGTCCAAAAGCCGAAGAAATTTTAGAACGTGGTTTAAAAGTTAAAGAATATGAATTAAAAAGAAGTAATTTTTCCGAAACTGGAAATTTTGGTTTTGGTATTCAAGAACATATTGATTTGGGTATAAAATATGATCCTTCCATTGGTATTTACGGTATGGATTTTTATGTGGTATTGGGTAGACCTGGTAATAGAGTTTCTCGAAGAAGAAGAGCCCAAAAGAAAGTTGGTTTCAATCATCGTGTTACTAAAGATGAAACTGTCAAGTGGTTCAAGCAAAGAGTATTTGTCCTTTATTAAAAGTTTTATTTTTTTTTTTCTTTTAACTCGCAATGAAAATTTAATCTTTTTTTTTTTCATTATTTTAGTTCGACGGTATCGTTCTCAACCGTTAAGCCTTATTTACTTTTTTTTCTCTACGACGGAATGTATAATTGTAGCTTAAAAACAATACATAATTTAATTAAGTTGCGAAAATATATTTCTGGGTTTCTTTTCCTTGAAAAAAACAAAAGTTCAAGAATTTCTTTATGCTTTTCATAATAAATATATTGCAGGAAAATACCAAAAATTTTTATTTTATCAATTAAAAGATTAAATTTTCTTCTCCGATATGTCAATTTCTTGCAGAATTATATTAACAACATCCATGGGACCATCATCAATTACAACGACATCAAAATTTTCTAAATAAGATTTTAATAAATTATCAACATCATGATTTAAAAATCCGATAGTTAAACAAACATCATGTTCAATTCCATCCGCCATGTGTAGATCTCCAATGGAATCTCCAAGTAAAATTACATTTCTTCTATTTTCAATTGTTGTATGGTAAGGGGAATGTTTGACAGCAATTTCAGATTTGTTAAATATGTGAATGGTTGGTTCCGTAAAATCATCACATATTCCTGTTTCTAGATTAAATTTCATTTGATTGGATACGATATGCATGTTTTCTCGATGGTAAAGATTTTTTCGAATTAGAACCTGTTCAATAACATCTTTTGTGAAAAATCAAGTTATATAAATTTGTTAGGATCTTTCTGATAATATAAAAAAAACAGAAAGAAAAAAAAAAGTTTTATTATAATTACTTCCTATTCCAGCAGAAAATATCAGAAAAGGTACTTTTTTCTCTTTACATTTATCAATCAATTCTTTTAAACCACTTCTCATTTCAACTGGAGTTTCATCTACCATGGTGGCAAAATCATCTATATTAATTTGTTGTTTAATTAATAATTCATGGGCTTTATTCCACCATTCAACCATATAGGGTATTTTTTGTTCTTTTGTTAATTTCGGATTAATTTCAATTGGATAATATTTTTCAAGTAATAACTTTGTCTCTTCTTTAAACTAAAAAAAAAAAATTCATTTTAAAAAGCTAAAATTAAAAAGTAAAAAAAAAAAAAAGGAAACAAAGAGGATTTTACTTCATCGGTTAATCGTGAACTTGATGATAATATCAAATGAGAACCAGGATTACGTTCTTTTCTGTCTTTATTTTTGTAATACCGTGTCATCGTTGCATCGAAATCTTTTTTGAGAAATAAAATGATCAAATGTATTATTATTCATGATAATTTTCAAAGAACCAAAAAAAAAAAAAAGATATATATTACCGCAAATTATATGTAAGTTGTTGAGTCCATCTAAGAGAATTTTATCAACCTTCTTTGCAGTAACTTCGACATTACTAACGATTGCAATTTTTTGAATAATATCTAAAAGTTGAGTTTCCGAAGGTGCCAACATATTTCAAATGTCAAAGTGTGAACGAAAAAACAAATTTTTAATGATTTTTTTTTTTAGGGGTAATACCGCGTTGTTTGATAATAGATGGGCATTATGAACTTCATAAGGATTAGTAATAAATAAAATAAATCGAAAAAATTTGTATTTTATATGAGTAAAATTTGCCGATCCTTTTTGCAGATCATTTGTAAAAATGTAAAATCTCGGCGTATTTGGCTAAAAGAATTTGTAGAATTAAAAAATTTTTACTACATATATGAAATAGTAATAAGTAACTCCAAAAAAAAAACTGCACCTACCATATAAGTTGTAAAGCTTATTAATCATATAATAAAATAAATTGACGTGCATAAAAAAAAATTTTGATCCCTCTTTTGATTTAATTCCGTTAATATTTATTATCAAATTATTCATTCAAAAAAATGCAAATGCGAAAACAATGATTTTGAAAAAAGCAGCAAAATGCGAAAACGAATTACATTCCGTAATGGCTTTTTTGATCAGATTACGACGGGATCTATTCATCCTGAATAGAAATACTACGTAATTATTAATTTCTATTTTACACAAGTTAAATATCTTAAGTCACCTGATTTAAAGTAACCAAGTTTATATTGATGATCAGTTTAAATGACGAACTTTTTTTTAAAAAAATTATTTAATTATTTTGAGATGACGAATGTTTTTTTTAAAAAAAACTTTATTTTTAAAATCTATTTTACTATGGAGGTGATGAATTTTTTATTTTTAAATTATTTGACAACTCCAAGAATCTGAAATAACTTAATCTAAACATCTGTGTTGGTTCCAGTAATGCTATATATTATAATATAAAAATTAAGTGACAGTATTTTTAAGTTCTAAATACTTGAGGACATTAATTATTGGTAAATTAATACAATTCAAACACCTGTTGATCAAACATTAGCGAAATAATGGAACAATCTTAATATTAGAAAAAAAAAGCACATACAGTAGATTTTGATTGAGTAAATTAAAAATTATATAATTATAAGATCTTTTATAATAATATCATTTAAGTCGGAATTTAAAATCAACTTTAGAAGTATTAGAAGAATGTTCCAAAAGCTAATCTAATCCTTATTTTATAGAGATGTCACTCCTTCACTTCGCTCTGGAATAATAATTAAATTATTTATATACATAATTTTGACCAATAATAAATAGTAGACACATAATTTGGAATTTATAACAAAAGAAAATTATTTTAGAAAAATACATAAATTATTTATAAAACAAGTTAAAGAATTATGATGATCTCTTAATACAAAATTCTGAAAATACTAAATACTGATAATAACTCTAATTTCACAGATTAAATGAAATTTAATAATATTCGAAATAATACTTATTTTTATTTTTTTTTACATATTATTATTATTTTTAGTTTATTTATATTTTATTTATTAAATTAGTTAGTTTATAGCATAGCAATTAGTTAATTACAACAAAGAAATTTTGTATAAATAGATAGACTTTTACTTATAAATTAACTCTTTTGCAAATATGAGTTTTAATATTATAAAAAGAAATTAATTAAACTTATAACTTTCTGCATTTTTATATTTTCATATAATCTGATATGATTTTTATACAAACTTTGTAATTGAGTTTATTATTTGAATGCTTTAATTAAAATTGATTATGATCTTATCTTTAAGTTTTTATACTTGACTGATTTGTTAAAATTAGTATATAAATTTAGTAAAGTTAAAAGTTAAATGAATCCTAACATCTTAATTGCAGATAGTAATTTTAAGTAAAAAATTTAAAACATAATTAATCTAAATTAGAAATTCTATGATAATAATATAAAGAAGAATATTCAAACCTAAAGTTATTTGTAAGTGTTACCTATTTTTTAGATAACTTTAACAAAAATTCTACTTTATTATTACTATTGTTATTATTATTAATAAATTATTATTAATATTTGTATCTTATTTACTTTATTATTTTTATTAACTATTCTTTTCTTTTTTTCTTTATTAATTATTCTTAAATGTTTTTATTATTTTTCTTTTAAAATTTGTTTTTTATTGATAGAAGATTTATAATAAAAATCACTTAAAAAAATTTAGATTTAATTCAGTTTTTTTGTTAAATAATTATTTAAAATCCTTTTATAAATTTTTAATTACTTATAAATATTTTTTATCAATATTAATATAAGAAAAATAAAAATTTATAAAACATATTCTTGAATGTAAATTTCATTTAAATAAAATTTGTTTTTTTATTGATAAGTAATACAATATAATAATTATTAATTATATTTGCATAAAGGAAAATTTTCTTATAATAAAAATAAAATAGATTAATATTATAATAATAAGATTATTCCTTTCAAATAATTTTTGTTTTTTAATAAATAATAGTATATTTTTATATAACTTTTTTTCTTAGTATTTATTATTTATTTTCTTTTAATAAATTTTATAAGTAATTTTTTTTTTTAAAAAATAAACTTCTAGTATATAAATACATTTATTTTGAAAATGTAAGAAATAATTTTTTTATCTTATTCTTTTTCAAAATATTTTTAATTATGCTATAATTCTTTATTCTATAATAGATCTGATATAAATAATTTTTATCTTATAATATTATTGATCATATTATATTAATAATACAATTGTAATATTAAAAAATAATTTTAATTTTTGATAATATATTTTATATAAAAATTTTTTATATTTATATTTATATATATAAATAATAGTAATAAACTTTTAGAAATTTATATAATGCATAAAATTATATTTATCAAAGAGTCTGAATTATTTTCACATAATTAATTATATGAATTAAAAAATAATTAACAAATAAAAAAATATTTAAATTATTTAATTTTTCTAAAATATCATTTATAAAAAATAACCATAAATATATATAAATATTATTTTTTTTATATATCAATTACATTTTAAAAATAGCATTTAAAAACTTTTTATAATCTTTTATATAATAGTTCTTAGAAATATTATTAAAAATTTATAAGAAAGTTATATTAGAAATTCTAAATACAATAAAAAATATTTGAAATAATTCAATTTTTGATCCTAATTATACAAATTTATTGAACAAATTAAATGTAATAATATTATTAAGTATCATTAAAAATCTTTCTTACAAAAAATCTTTTATTTATTAGCATATAAATAATAAGTTATTTTTACATTAAAAATCTAATGAAATAAATATTATACATAACATCTATACTTATCAATAATCTAAAATTTTAAAATGATAATTTTTATGTGATTTATTATGTATAACAAATTTATTGATTATAATTAAATTAATTTCATTACATAAAAATAATTTTAGAAAAAATTTTTTATTTATTTGTAAGTTTATTTAACTCTTTTAAAATATCTTTTGAAATTTGTTTATAAGATTTATATATTTTACCAATTTTTTATTAATATCTTTCTAGTAAAGATCTATATACAGTTTGTGACATAAATATCCAGAGTTTTTATTAAGAATACAAAAAAAAAGTATCATCATACCAATTTTTGTCTAACGTAAATAAATTTAAAATAGCAATTCATTAGCTATTTTTAAACGTAAATATAAATGCTAAATATTTTACGTAACTATTTATTAATTGCAACTTATAATAAATAGAATATACTTCAATATTTAAGACAAAATAGCTAATTGTAAAGGAACTATAGATTAATAATGTACGAAAGCCTGCTGAAATAATTAAAATAAAAGAGTATTCAAAGTCTACAGTATATAATATTATTAATTATTTAAAAGAAACAGAAAATGTTAAGCATTTACTTTATCTTGGTCATCATCTTCTTCTCATCTCTAATAAATACTGATATTTTGATCGTCTTTTTCAAGTTAATAATACAACAATTCTAGCTTTAATAACAAAAAGCCAAATTTCATATATTTAGAACTTAATGTATCAACTCAAACTGTCTAATGTATCTTTAAAAATAAACTTAATTATATTATTTATTAGCTATGAGCAGTTCTTCTTCTTAAACTGAATCATATTAAAGCTCATTTTTAATGGACTTTAAACTATAGCTAAGATGGTTAGTATTATACGATATTTTCTGATAAAAATACTTTTTAAACGTTCTGCAATATCTAACTTATATACTACAAAATTGGTAATCTATATCTATTATATCCTATAATAAAACATTTATATAAAATCCATATTTTGGATGCTTTCAGCTATTAAAGATTAATTGGTGTGATATTATTTATAGAAAAGATGAATGCTGTGAAATATTAAGATATTTTTCAATCCCAATTGTTTTTTAATACTAATTATATTAATGATAGATGGTATTTTCAATAGGATAATATATAAATTCATACCGTAAAGCTTATTCATCAATTTTTTATAATGAATAATATTCTAGTGATTGATTAGCCTGCTAACTCTTCTGATTTAAACTCAATTAAGAATTTGTGAGCGATTCTTAAAGGAAAAGTAGAAGAAAAGGTTAATGATTAGATTAGAGAAAAAAATACTTAGCGCAGATACTTTTCAAAGCATAATTTAAAAGAAATAGGAAAATGTTGATTAAAGCATTTTCTTTAATTTAGCAGATAATATGTCAAATCAGATTAGTATGGTTATAGAAAAAAATGGGTATACGATAAATTATTAATTCTTTAAATATGTTATTTTTATATGATAAGCTATTGATAATATAAATTTGAAATAAAAATAATAAAATTTGTGATACTTTTATATATTATGATAAATTCTAGATATTTATGTTATAAACTGTAATACTAAAATTTTTTTGAAAACTTTCTAATAATTATTAAACTTACTAAATTAAAACTAATTTTTATAATCCCTTTCATAAATAATTATAATTTATGTAAATATTTTTTGATAACATCCTAATACTTCTCAATAAATTTTAATTTACAGTAAAATTTAAAAAAAAGAATGCATTTACAGTAATACTCAAAAGTATTGCATCATCTGA